CAGCATTTTGGGAACAATATTCTTCAGGATGTGGGAGAAGCCATGACCGCCATACTTGGTAAGTCGGTGCTTGGTGTGGATATCATGGGCAATGAGGATTCTGTCTTCATAACCTTCTCTGATCAGGAAAGCCAAGCTAGTGCAACAAGACAAAATTACTCTCAATGATCTGTTGGCTTTACATAAAATGAATAGTCTCATTAAATATCTGCATTAATCAAATTGGCATGTTTATAACATACTCATTTACTGATTTCCAGAAACAGAGGCAGATGTTTATGAACCATTTACTGTAATGCATTGGCTGCCGTTCTTGCTGGACGCAGATACTTACGTCTGAACTCTCTGGCTGTCGCTGAGCATGTCAACATCAAGGTTAAACTGGTAATTCAGCACCTCTGTGCCAAAGAGGTCATATTCAAGGTAGCTCCCCATCTTTGCAAACTCCAGTAATTCTCGCGGATCATATATGCTCCTATAAGGGAGACACACATTAGAGTGCTGAGTTTCAGATACAATGGTTTTTGAATAAAGACTGAAAGAGTTATTGGAAGCTTAGCGTTTGTGATGTTGAAGTCACATGACCGTAGTGTAGTTCGTTTATAGCCTATATTTAGCTTTTTACTTCTGGCGATTGTCTTTAGGGTTCAGAATACATCAAATTTGTGATGAACAAAATGTGTTCGAATGCATTATGCAGGTGTTTTCCCATGTCTCCTTACCTGTCAAGATGAGACATGACTGTTTTGGAGATATCTCCACCTGCTTCTTGCAGAATGCGGATGGCCTCCCCAGGAGCGGCTTTGTTTCGTCCGGGGTGGATGATAACTGGGCAGCCGAGCTGAGTCTGAGCTTGAGCGGTAGCTCGCAGGACCTTCTTCTCACTCTCTGTGATTGGCCAGCTTGTACCGATCTCTCCAATTACACCACAGCGGATATCTGTACCGTCTGCGCCATGGAGCACCTCATTGACAATGATATCAGTTAGCTTGAGGAGAAAAAGATGAGACATTTGAGAAATGGGAACAAATCATTTCCATCCGTTTCATCAACAATTTTACAACGTATACTACTGGTCAAAAGTTCATAATAAATAAGATTTGTGATTTAAAAAAAAAAGATTTTGAAGGTAGTTCTTTGAAGTTCTCAAAGGCTCCATTTATTTCTTTAAAACTACAGAAAAAAAATAACAATATTATTAGAATGTAAAATTACTGTTTATATTTTAATATATTTTAAAATGTAATTTATTCATGTGATGGCA